TGTCGCGCTCTTTCTTGGGCAGCGTTGCCTTGGTCTAATGGATTGATGTTGATAATTTGGAGTTACTTTGTTTACGTAGTCTGAGAGCTTCTTTTTAAGCAGCTGGCTGGAAATGGAGATGCAGGCAATCTTAATTCACTTTTAATAAAAGATCAATGGGTTTATTGTGAAAAAATAGAATACAGATGTAAACCGTACCCGATAAAAGAATTAAATGTGTGTTTAACCTTCCTATTTTGTTTTTACAGTGCTACTGGTGCTTGACCTTCTTCATTTTTGAGACTATGGTCTTTCCTGGCAGTTTTAAATTTTAAATTTTACTTAGACTCAAAAACAAACTCTGCTGGTGTTTTTCATCTCAAGTGCTTACCAAATCCCTCGGATTTTACAAAATATTTAAAAAGTAATCTCTAGACTAAAGTTTCATTAAAACCTTTGCCCTTCCTGTGGAACAAAAGTTCAGAGAAGTTCTGGTTGATTTTGATTTGGAAACTGTAAAACAAAAAAGATCATGGTGTGAAGTATTAATTTAGGCTTGGCAGCCTCACTGTAAAATCTGTTTCCAGAAGTTTCCAATTAAAATGCAGTGTGTCTAATAGTATAAAGAAAGCACCTTAAAGGCTCTTTCTTTTATATTATGTAGGAGGAAAAATGCCCCAAACATTAGTGAAGGTAAAAGATCTTGGAGGTATTTTTTTATTAAAGAGTCATATTTATATTGCAATGAGTTGACTTGGTAGGAGAAGCCATGTACTCAAGAATTTCTTGGCTGTACCAATTTTCAGTATTGCTTTTTAACCAAACCATTTGATAGATTAGTCAGATATTTATAAAGATGCAATTTTTTTCTTTTGATTTTCTTTATATCTTTATTACACCTTGTGCTCTCCTGCTGCTTGAACAATTTCCCCTGTGTGGCCTTTCCCCCCAGTTTCAAAGGAGAGAAAGCAAAATTGGAAAGAGGCCAGATTGACCGGGATGGTTAAAGGTATGGAATAGCTTGTGGAAGAGGAACAAATAAAGAACTTGGGTCCCTTTAGATGGATGGAGATACCACATTAATCTGTAAAATCATGGTGATAAGGCAGCGGTTGTTCACTGCATTTCTGTAAGAGAGGTCAGAATGGTTATCAAGCAGAACTAGTTTGCAGGTTGAAGTAAATTGTAACAGTTATTCAGGATTATTGAATGGCAAAATGCTTTATTACTGAAGTTATCTGGTTGTGGAAGGATCTGTATTGCAAACTGTTGGAGGCCAAGAGGATTGGCAGATTAATGCTATGTGCTTTTATGTTCACTGTTTTCTATTGACAGCTGTCAGAGATGGGGCATTTGATTTATACCAGGGGCATCTGGTATGACCTGCAGTGGCTGTTCTGGTGCTATAACAGCTCATAATGTGTTAAAATTCTGTCTCAAGAAGGGTGTTTCTGGCTGTAAATGAAAATTTTAAACACCATCAGAAATCATGATATGTGTTTTTTACTTCCAAATTTTTTTTCATTTCCAAAAACATTTCAAAATACATTTTATGTCTTGTTGGATTTATCTCACCAAAATGTAGATGAACAGGCAGAAATATGCGCAGTTGTTGCGCATTGACAGAGTGCATTTCATCAGCAGGTGGTATTGGATTTAAGAAGCTGAAACACAAGACAAGTGCTTAGGGATGGTCTGTAAGATGATACTTTTTGTTGAAAGTCTTGTAGTTAAGTGTTCCCAAGGTGGTCTGGACAGCACAGTGCTACTGTGCAAGAGCTTTTATATGAGATACGAGAAAGCAAAATGTTTTCAGTTGCGGAATTTTACCATAGTCATAATCAATTCTGAAATGTATGCTAATTTAATCTGAAGCCAAAGATAAATGATTTTCACAAACAGTTTTACAAATGTGATGAAGTTCTTCTGCTGTGATAAGTAGTTCTGCAGCAGTTCCCTTCAGGAATTCCCCTTTCTATTTTGGATTTATGTTGGGTGTATACTGCAAATCAGCAATATTAAGAATAAGAAGGAATATAAATAGTCTGTTTAAAGGCAAGTCTTTTTGATGATGTAATAGTTTTAGAGTGAAAAATGAAATAGGAACATTTTTCTTGAAGTACAGGTGCTCCTGTGCATGAGGCAGAATCTGACTCAGTTCTCACATTGAGGTTTTTAACAGTCCAGGAATAGAATGAGGGGGGGGGGTGGTGTGTGTGGTGGGGGAAATGAGGTGGATTCACTGTTTATTTTCATTTTGAGTTTTTAATGTTTTTAGCAAAGTAAATTGAGAGTAAGTGCTTAAGGGGGGGGGGGGGGAGGGGAGAGCAAAAAG